GAGAGAGAGAGAGAGAGAGAGAGAGAGAGAGAGAGAGAGAGAGAGAGAGAGAGAGAGAGAGAGAGAGGACTCAGACAGAGGGTAGAAGGTTAGATCAGCGTTTGGCATGAGAAGGTTGCTCACCTTGTGACTTCAGGGTGATGCTCTTCATGGAGTGTGAAGACTGCTACACTGAGGTCATTATCTTTGTCAAGCCTGGCTGTGCTAGCGTGTGTGGGAAGCAGGAGGACTGGTTTGAGAGAGGCTTGGTGGTGATAACAAGGTGTGGACAGATGGGCAGAAGAGGAAGGACCTGGAATAAACGTGGCAGGAGTCTTCAAAAAAGCCGAAAAGTTTTTCATAGTCAATTGAGAATGTTCTCAATCTTAAAAATGAATTATTTTTTTTTGAATATCGCAGTCAAAGAAATTGGCAGACAATCGAAGGCTGTGATCATAGACCTTGCTTGTACTAAATATACCATGAGTGGTAATTTGGCTTTTTGGCTTGGAAGTCTCTCTGTATTTTAACCTCTCTTTTCATTTACTTTTCTTGCTCCAACCAACGTTTGGAATGTTCTCACTTTTCTTGTTTATTATTCTTTTCATTTACTTTTTGGCTTTTTGGCTTTGCGAGGATTTGAGCCCTCGGCAGTGCTGGAAAAGGCCTTGCCCACCCTAAGTGAAGGCGGGCCTGCAAATATGCACCAGGGCCTGGGTACAGGCCAGTGTGATCACGCTAAATGGCTGTTGGAATCTATATGTGGGCCTCGATCTTCGCAGAGGCCCTTCTAGGGCTCACCCCACATCTCGGCTGAGGCCCCGTACAGACTTGTGCACGCCCTAAGAGAAGGCAGGCCGAAATATTTACGAGAGGTATCAGACAGTTGCAGCACGCCAGTTGGTTACAGGGTAACGTGAGCCTTTTTCCTGGCTCATTGCGGAAGCAGCAGCTCGAGAGGCAGTTGAGCCCAGGGCACGTACAGCTGAGGCCGTGGGCACAATCCACCAGACGCCGACACATCGCAGAACGGCGGCGGGCCAGTGAGAATGCAGCATTGTCGTCGCACACTGGCCAGCAGCCAATGAGATCGCGGCGAATAGCCTCGTGGGCTACCTGGGCGTGCCCAACTGTAAAGGGCCCAGGCCTGTAACAGCAACAGGGGGCCTGGGTACAGACACTGGGGCCCGACTGGAAGCTACTGGAAACTCGTCCAGCCAGGCCCAGAGCTCGACAAAGCAGACTCACTTTCCATAACGGAAAGTGAGCACGGCAGCCAGAGACATACTTGTCGTGGCTTGCTGGCGTACAGAGCAGCACTGCTGCTTTGAGCACTGGAGGCCGCTGGTAGGCCAAGGGCTGGAAGAGGCGCACACGGGCACACTGTGGTGTTGGGCGCTGCTGGTGCAGCGGGCGCTGAGCAGCCATAGCTGGGATTGCTCAGCGGAGGCTGGTGATGGTGATGGTGGTCCTTGGGTGTCGCGGATGCACACTGTGGAAAGTCAAGGGGTGAAGTGAGAGGAGATACACGTACCTGGTCTACGCTGGAAGTCTGCTTTGGCAACGCCGTCACGTACATTGGTCTTCAGCATCGAAGTGATTCCTTTGCATGAACGTAGTGTAGGCTAGTATAGGTGCTGAGTAGATAGGCTGGGCGCTGAGCGGCAATCAGGAAGAGCGACACTGAATCCTATGTTGGTGTGGCGAGAGAGTGTCGACATTGACATTTGAGTTCATTGTATTGCTCTTATTTGGCTGATAACTCGGTGCATTGTGCTTTCTGCTTGGTACACGACTATCTGGGCTGCAGCGTGATTTTGCAATTTGGAATTCTCAGTTCTGTCTATTGCCATCGCTCATGTTCCCTTGCAGCTTGGAATGTTCTCACTTTTCTTGCTGCAACCAATGCTTTTAAGTGAGACATCGAAAGATGTCATGATGCTCCTACTGTGACAGCTATCCCTTTAATACTTTTGGCTTTTGGAAAGTCCTTTTGTAGGATATTTGGCCACAGATATGATGATTGGTTTAGGTACTCGTTGGCAAATTCCATTTTCATACTATAAAAAAACTGAGTGAGGACACCGCCCGGCCGGTTGGGCCCGGGAGGCCCGTCCGGGTTAACCGGGCAGGCCAAAAAACCGGCCAGATTTTTTTTTTTTTTTTTTTTTTGAAACCGGGGTCGTTCTGCGCTCGGGGAGAGGACCCCGAATCCGCAATAAAATTTTGGTTTTGGGGGATGGGTGGGGGTTTTGGTCTGGGTGGGGGGCACTGGGGTTGGGGGGTGTCTGGGGGTTGGGGGCTCTGCATGTATGTTGCCTGCTGTATGCTGAATGTATGTCATCTGATATATACTGGGTTGGGGGCTCTGCATGTTTGTTGCCTGCTGCTCTGATGCCTGCTGCATGCAAGTTATCGACCCTTTCATTCTGAAGAAGTACAAGACTGACAAAAAATGAAGAAGACTGACGAGAAGAAGAAGAAGACTGATAAGATGGAGAAGAAGAAGAAGAAGACTTACAGACTGACAACTTGCAGGAAATCTACGAGTTCTTCAGCAGCATATCAGCTGCATATGGCCAATATCGATCCACATTTGAACACACATCTCTCTCTCTCTCTCTCTCTCTCTCTCTCTCTCTCTCTCTCTCTCTCTCTCTCTCTCTCTCTCTCTCTCTCTCTCTC